AGGTATATCAAAAAGAGATCTGTCTTGTGTTGTGTTCATGTGTCCTGTTTAGGTTGGTGAGGAGAAGTTTGAGTGGAGGGTTTATATTTGCATGTATTGTTCTGTGTATGTAGTAGGCACACGAATAAGTATGGATGTTCTTAATGGTGAGCAGATTCAGACTTTTGAAAATTGGTGGAGTATGCTGGCAGGAGTGGGAATTTGTTATCATTCTTACTGCTGCCTTTTGCTGGGTTATTAGGGGTTTTAGGTGATTAGATGTTGTTGATCCCCATGCATAAATTCCATATGTAAGATAAGGGTATATGAGTGAATGGTACAGTGCCAGGAGAGTTGATTGTGGAACATAGTACCTTATCTTTGATAGTATGCCTACAGTCTTGGAGATTTTCTTGGTGATTTGTTGTATGTATGTCCGGAACTTAAGACTACTGTCAAGGTGGATACCTAGGAATTTTCCCTCTGTGAGTCTTGTGACTGATGATCCGTTTAGTGTTATGAATTGGATCATTTGCAGCTTTGTTTCCAAACTGAATGAAATAGGTTTTATCAGTATTCAGGGTAAGTTTGTTAGTCATCATCCAGGCAGATATTTTCTGAAATTCGACATTGACTGTGCTTGCTGGTATGACTGTGTTTGGGTGGGAAAAGACATATGTAGTGTCATCTGCAAATAATATGGGTTTGAGTAGCTGTGATGCATTCGGTAGATCATTGATGTAGATGGGAAAGAGGAGTGGTCCAAGGACACTTCCTTGTGGGACTCCTACTGTGATTGGTTGGGTGGAAGAGTTTGCATCATTTGCATACACATATTGAGTTCTGTTACTAAGGTATGATTTTAGGTAGTTGAGGAAGTGGCCTCTGTTACTATAGTGCATTAATTTGGAGTACAGTAGTTCATGTTCGACTGTATCAAAAGTTTTACGTAAATCAGTGAAAATGCCGAGTGGGACTACTTTTTTTTCGAGTGCGGTATATATTAGTTCTAGCATGTGTATGATAGCATCATTTGTGCTTTTATTATTCCTGAATCCAAACTGACAAGGGTTTAATATGTTGTGTGAGACAAGGTAGGAATAGATCTGTCTATGAATTAATTTTTCAAAGATTTTAGAGAGCAGTGGTAAGTTAGACATTGGTCTATAGTTATTCAAGTCAGCTTTGTTACCTCCTTTGTGGTGACCAAGGCTTCACTTTGCAATCCCTACTAGCATTGCAACAAAACATGAGAGTTAGCCTGTCTTTCATAGGCTTGTGTCATGGGAGTGCCTTTTCCTCCTGAGTAATGTAGGTCCTGTTTGGCATTTTCTTCCAGAACAAGCCTGTTTTGTCACAGTTAAACACTTGTTAGGGTGCTTCTCTTGCTTGTATGAGGTTTAAGTTGGGTTTGGTTCCTGGTTTACAGTGTTGTGGTAGGTTCATCCTTGTGGGTCTTAAGTTACAGGGTTGTGGTAGATACTTCTTGTGTGTGAGGTGAGTTGAGTTCCTATGAACATTGAAAAAGCTTTTGCAATATATATTTCTCACACTTCTTCCAGTTAGGTGTATTTTAGTCTTATGCAGAAATCATTTAATATTAAATACTGAAGGAGGTAGTGTTTACTATACTTTAGTTCCTGGGCAGTGGCATCCCATGTGCCCTTGAAGTCTATTATAGAAGGTATGCTGTTCACGAGTAGTTCCACTGTCACTCACTAATTATGCTTACTCAATTCCTAATAGGTAAGTTTATTTCTGGTATTCGTAAGGTGGTAAGATTCCTATTCTTTCAAAAATTTTAGGAGTGTATTAAAATTGTTAGTATGTTAACCCTTTCAGGGTCAACAGGCCCTCTCATAAACTTGTTCTCAGGGTCGAAAATTTTTCAAAAAAAAAAAAAAAAAAAAAAAAAAAAAAAAAAAAAAAAAAAAAAAAAAAAAAAAATCTTATGAAATGATAGAGAATCTTTTCCCAATCATAATGACACCAAAAGTATGAAATCTGATGGAAAACTTACAGAATTATGCTATCGCAAAGTTAGCAGTCTCAAAGATGTTTACGCATCGGTGATTTCACCCACTTTGAGCCCTATTTTCGGCCAATTCCAATGTACCAATCGACAAAAATCATAACTATTTCGCTAGAACTCCATTTTTTTCTATCGAATGAGTACAAGAAATCACCCATTTATCAATTTCAACTATCCAATAAAGTGGTTAGAAATTGGCAATTTTGCCAATTTCACAGAAATTTCAAAAGATGCCAATTTCCAATTAGGGTCTAGAATAAATGAGACAGACATTCCTGGCACTAAAATAAAAAAAAATTTCTGTTCATTAGTTATGTCCCCAGGCCTCTCTTACATTTCTTTTGCTTTCCACTTCAAATTTGTTATTCTCACAAAAAAAATAGAAGTTTTACTGTTATGCAGACTACTGCATTAGTGTAGAAATAGTATAAATAATATCAGCGCACTTGTGAAAGAATATCAGATCATGTCGGAGGATCTCACCTTCAAGGACCATAACATTGTATCAATCGCATCTGCTAGAAAAATGACAGGATGGATAATGAGAACCTTCAAAACTAGGGAGGCTAAGCCCATGATGACACTCTTCAGGTCACTTGTTCTATCTAGGCTGGAATATTGCTGCACACTAACAGCACCTTTCAAGGCAGGTGAAATTGCCGACCTAGAAAATGTACAGAGAACTTTCACGGCGCGCATAATGGAGATAAAACACCTCAATTATTGGGAGCGCTTGAGGTTCCTAAACCTGTATTCCCTGGAACGCAGGAGGGAGAGATACATGATTATATACACCTGGAAAAATCCTAGAGGGGCTAAGTACCGAACTTGCACACGAAAATCACTCACTACGAAAGCAAAAGACTTGGCAGACGATGCACCATCCCCCCAATGAAAAGCAGGGGTGTCACTAGCACGTTAAGAGACCATACAATAAGTGTCAGGGGCCCGAGACTGTTCAACTGCCTCCCAGCACACATAAGGGGGATTACCAACAGACCCCTGGCAGTCTTCAAGCTGGCACTGGACAAGCACCTAAAGTCAGTTCCTGATCAGCCGGGCTGTGGCTCGTACGTTGGTTTGTGTGCAGCCAGCAGCAACAGCCTGGTTGATCAGGCTCTGATCCACCAGGAGGCCTGGTCACAGACCGGGCCGTGGGGGCGTTGACCCCCGGAACTCTCTCCAGGTAAACTCCAGGTCACCAGTTGACGTGTGGCATGATTTGTTTACTGTTGAACTTGGGCAAAAATTGATCATTTCTGCTACTTTGAGCTCAATTTCAAGGTACTTCTCACTGTGAATCCAATCAAAATCATCTCAATTTCTGTAATATGTCTTCCATTCTATAAAATGAGACCAGGAAAACTAGAATAGATCTATAAATAGTATACGAAAATACACTGCAAATTCGCTGTTTTAAAGCAAAAACACGGTCAGAGTTTTTTTTTTTTCTCATTATGCAGTGTGTGCTGCAGGATTTTTTTTATACTGTGCACACTGACCACATAGATCCATTCTTTCATATGTAGGCCCACCAGCTTTCTCTCTCTAGATTTGAAGGTGCTAGAATTTATGCGTACTAGTACGGAACAAACCCTGGCATGCAAGCCTTACTAGTACGGCACCAACCCTGAAAGGGTTAAAATCGATCATAGCTTTACATTGGTCTAGCCAATATTTTATATCAGTATCATTGAATAAGATTCCTGTGCAACACTTTTGTATCATTATTTCCCAAATGTTTCTCCTTCCTGGTAGGGAAAAACTGAAGTTTACTGAATAGGAGAAGCATTTCAGAAATAAAGATACAAAAGTGTTGCATATGTCTCACTCATCACAGACTTACCCTCATCCCCAGTCACAAAAAATTTGTTCTAAAGTCATGAAGAAAACACTTTTCAGAACAAGAAATAATTGGGATATTGTATCACTCTGTTTAGAGTGAATTGATAAAACTCTACACACAGCAAATGTTTGTCCAAGTACAGCATGTTCTGTAATATGTCTTCAATATTGTCATTTTTTTTTAACACACTGGCTGTCTTCCACTGAGGTATGGTGACATGAAAAAGAAAAAATGCTTTCACTAAGTTTTTCTTCTTTTTTTACATTTAGTAATTTCTATAGGAGAAGGGGTTACAAGCCCCTTGCTCCCAGCATTTTAGTTGCCTCTTACAACACACACAGCTTACAGAGGAAGGATTCCTCTCCACTTCCCCATGAAGATTGTCAACAGTATTCTGACTGAACTATTTTTAAATCATCACCCATAATGACTGTAGTGCACAATTTCATTAAGGTAAGCTCTTATAAAGTACTCTTGTATTGTTATTTTTTGTAAATGTAAAAATGCAAACTGTAAAGGCCTTTCCATAGGTTTTTCAGTTTAGAATTTGCTTTTTCAACTGCAGATACAAGAAATTGTAGTCAATAGAGGATGTTTATAAAAATAAGAGTTTACTGTAATCAATGTAATTTTCCAAAGATACACTAGTGTAGAATGTTTTAAATCAAAATGAAAAGGCATTCTCAAGTTGCTGCATGGAGACCAAAGTTATGGAAGCAGAACATAAGGTATTCTCTCATTATGTTGATACTGAATAACTAAATTGTCTGATGTGTACTTACACAGGCCTGGTGGCCTGGTGGCTAAAGCTCCCGCTTCACACACGGAGGGCCCGGGTTCGGTTCCTGGCGGGTGGAAACATTTCGACATGTTTCCTTAAACCTGTTGTCCTGTTCACCTAGCAGCAAATAGGTACCTGGGTGTTAGTCGACTGGTGTGGGTCGCATCCTGGGGGACAAGATTAAGGACCCCAATGGAAATAAGTTAGACAGTCCTCGATGACGCACTGACTTTCTTGGGTTATCCTGGGTGGCTAACCCTCCGGGGTTAAAAATCTGAATGAAATCTAATCTAATCTAATCATAATTTGGAGAAGATAAAAATGGTATATTAATGGTTATATGTGGTTGAATCTCCCAACAGAGGCCGAATACAAGGAGGAGGAGATATCAACACTGCCCTGGGGCTCCTGCCTGACAAGCTTAGGACTGAACTTGCCCTCCATGTTAACCTCCTCACACTCAAGAAGGTATTTCCTCTCTCCCTTTAGTTTACTTCTGGATACAATTATATACAATAGAAACTGTATCTCTCTCAGAGAATTTACTTTACATTTTAAGTATAAAAGTATCTTTGACTGATAATTTTCAGGTTAGAAGCAGCCTTAATGACCCTCATGGAGTCGATAGGCCAATAAACCAAACCAAATATCAGTCTGCGTACTTCTATTTTACTTCCACTACACATTTTTCTACTTTCATTGTATCTGCTATTACTTCTTATATCAGACTCTAGTTTACTTTTCCTCTGTGTATGCTCCAGGTTTTCCTATTATGTATTATTATAATTATTTTTATCATCTTTATTATGCTCCTGGGGAAGCACAAAACCTGTGGGGTTACATATTGCCTGAAAAAAGCAATTTTATCAGGTATGATCTCTGCCATGTGTTTGCACAGTTTCTTCCAAGTGTGTATCAGACAGGTACAAGAACCTTAAGCTGTGTAAAATAGCAAATCTCTCCCCGGAGGGATGAATAATCTACATTACTTCAACAGATTTGGTATAAATCTTGTAATTGATACCAACAAGTGGTATAAAAAAACATGTGAGCAAACACTAGGACATATTAATTAGAAAATGATTAGTTTTAGTTAAAGGTCTGAAAATTTTCTGACACACATGTCCTGGTGTTTGCTCATGTGTCTTTTTATACCACTACATCTGCAAGGTCAGCGAATGTCAGAACTACCTTCAGGAATTTAAACAAGGAATTCCTCAACACACCATACACTGCGTACATCAGGGTAATCTTAAATGTTGAATGCACCTTAACATGTACATGCCACCACTTACATCTCTGTGTAAGACGTGCAACAGGTTAGTTTCTTTATTGGCAAGACGTTTTGCTTGCTTAGCAGGCTTTTTCAGTTGAAACACACAGGAGACAGCAGAAGTAGTAGAGATGTAGAGTATGAGGTGACCAATCCCTCAACCTTGAAGAGCTAAGGTTGAGGTTGTCAGTTCCTCCTTGGTTTGTGTTTAGCTCCATAACTTTCATCAGTTAATAGAGGAAATTGTTGCACATATGTTTTACTTATCTACTTCCAGGTAGTCCAGGTAGACTGGTATTATATTCCATTAATAAATATTAATGACTTAACATCTCTGTTATAAAATATGTCTTCATTCTAAAAGCACTAAAAAAATTTTGGGGGTTAGATATGTAAGTAGCTTATGAGGCCAGGAATCAAAGATGCCAGTTATTTGAAGGTTAAGAGGCCTTACTAGGAGCTAATTGTTATACAGTATTCATAGGAAAGTACTAAACTCATAGGGGTCATACATAGCCAGGAGAATGAAGGTAATCATGATTGATCCATGGAAGGGAAAAGTAGCACTAATTCTTCAGCTCAAGAGTTCTTCAGCACCAAGGTCTGTCCTTCTTGAAGGGAAGCTATGAGTTGAAATTCTACCTCAGCAACCACAATTAAGTGAAACAAGATAAATACATATGCAAGATGGGAGGTGCTCACCAATAACAATAGGGAACTATAGAAAGAACTCTATAAAAGATTCCATAGTAACTGGTATAATAGTAACAGCAGTACTAAAGAACATGAAGGAGTTGGATAAGGAAAGAGCAAGAGTTCAGGACAAGATGTTGCTGTGGATACTGAAGAAGGTAGCCGATACCTCAGATTTAGAAAGGTTATAGGAAAGCACCAGTGGCACTATAGTTAAAGTTAATTGGAATAAATTCCTAAACTATGTCATTGAAGCATGGTGGGTTATTGTAAAGGTGGATTGAACAGATGCCTGAGTGGGAATGACTATGTGGGAGTTTAACCTGTCTAGTATGGACCAGTAGGCTTATTGCAGTAGCCCTTTTAAAGTTTTTATGCACAGTATATGAAGAACAGACACTATACAGGGTACAGTGTAGCAAGCCTAAAATAATCACCAAATGTAAATCATAATGGATTGCTTTTACATTTTCCAGGTGAGCATCTTCAAGGAATGCCAACCAGAGTTCCTTCATGATTTAGTGCTCAAAATGAAGGCCTACATCTTCACACCTGGTGACCTTATCTGCAGAAAGGGAGAAGTGGCAAGAGAGATGTTCATTATAGCTGATGGGATCTTGGAGGTTATAAGGTTTGTATGTGGCTGATGTTTAGTGATGATATTATATGGAAGGGATATGAAGTGCATGGCTAAATTATAAGTATGTCTGTATATGAATGTGTGATTACCCATTTGTTACTACAGGAGTAGAATTATGCTCATGGAATCTTGTATGTATTCATTATTTAATCTTTCTTGCAATTAAAAAAGAAATTCATTACTAGTACATGTAGCACTACATTCCATTGTTAGTCAACTCTGTAAAAAAGTTTCTAGTGTTTGTTCAACACTTCTTTTTTCTTAGTTGACACCTGACGTCTCTTATTAACACTGTTGATGGCATTTAAAAGTTTCCTCAGTTTATCCTTTCATGATGTTTGTGGTTACACTGTTTTCCTTACCTTCTGTTGGCCAACAAGTGAATTATTAGTGTTTTCTACTTTTCTTCATAACTCATTATGTAGCGGTGGGTGGGAAATAATGAAAATATTACTGCCAGATTTTAATATAGTGAACAAAGTATTCATAAAGGGAAAGAAACATCCCAGAGCTGATGGATGTTTTGGACCTTTGGCTCAAAGTGTAAAACGGTTTTATAGTCATAGTGCAACATCTTTGTGTAGTTTAGAAAGAGGCATGAACAATTCATTAATATTAGTACATCCCTCTTGAAACAAGAAGGATGTTAAGCGTGTCCTTCATTTTGTGTTGTTCATTTTCCTATCTGTATTTTAAAATTTGCTTAGTGTTAATCCTTAAGTGGCTTCAGCAAGTAGACTGTTCTCTAGTGTATATTGATCTGTTCTCTCCCCTGCAGTATGGCATAGCAAGGCCAGAGTTTTAAGCTGTTGTATGTGTTAAATTAGATATCTTGAGGACATGCTTGACTTATCAAACTTACATGATCATTTCTCTCTTTATTTGTCCATTTTTATCAATATGTATATACGTATGTGGGCTAGTGGGCCTGGTGGCTAAAGCTCCCGCTTCACACACGGAGGGCCCGGGTTCGATTCCCGGCGGGTGGAAACATTTCGACACGTTTCCTTACACCTGTTGTCCTGTTCACCTAGCAGCAAATAGGTACCTGGGTGTTAGTCGACTGGTGTGGGTCGCATCCTGGGGGACAAGATTAAGGACCCCAATGGAAATAAGTTAGACAGTCCTCGATGACGCACTGACTTTCTTGGGTTATCCTGGGTGGCTAACCCTCCGGGGTTAAAAATCCGAACGAAATCTTATCTTATCTTATCTTATCTTCTCCTGTATAAATTACTAGATTTAAAAAGAGAAACTTTTGTTTTTCCTTTTGGGCCACCCCACCTCGGTGGGATGTGGCTGGTGTGTTGAAAGAAAGAAGATGTATATATGTCCCCAGTTTCTTGTATCCAGCATTTTGTATAAAAAAGCAGCATATTACTTGAAAAACTAACATTTTGCTTGAGAGAATCAGAACATTGTTTGAAAAACCCAGCCTATTGCTTGAAAGAACTAAAAAATAGTCTCAATATACTTAATTCTTTTCGAGTTTTTTTCTTTTGTGATTGTTATTTGATTTTCAGTTTTCTCCATCCTTATAAGTGATGTCTGATACCTGGAGTTTACCTGGAGAGTGTTCCGGGGGGTCAACGTCCCCACGGCTCAGTCTGTGACCAGGCCTCATGGTGGATCAGGGCCTGATCAACCAGGCTGTTACTGCTGGCTGCACGCAATCCAACGTACGAGCCACAGCTCGGCTGGTCAGGTACCGACTTTAGATGCTTGTCCAGTGCCTGCTTGAAGACAGCCAGGGGTCTATTGGTAATCCCCCTTATGTATGCTGGGAGGCAGTTGAACAGTGTTGGGCCACTGACACTTATTGTGTCGTCTCTTAACGTGCTAGTGACACCCCTGCTTTTCATTGGGGGGATGTTACATCATCTGCCAAGTTTTGTGCTTTCATAGAGAGTGATTTTCATGTGCAAGTTTGGTACTAGTCCCTCTTAAGATTTTCAAGGTGTATACAATCATGTATCTCTCCCACCTGCATTCCAGGGAGTACAGGTTCAGGAACTTCAAGCACTCCCAGTAATTGAGGTGTTTTATCTCCGTTATGCGTGCCTTGAAGGTTCTCCGTACATTTTCTAGGTCAGAAATTTCACCTGCCTTGGAGGATGATGTTAGTGTGCAGCAATATTCAAGCCTAGATAGAACAAGCGACCTGAAGAGTGTCATCATGGGCTTGGCATCCCTAGTTTTGAAGGTTCTCATTATCCATCCTGTCATTTTTATAGGAGTCAGGAATCGCAGGAAGAACTAAAAGCCATAAATGAAATCGAAAGAAACCCAAAGTATTTCTTCTCCTATGCCAAATCAAAGTCGAGAACAATGTCCAGTATTGGGCCCCTACTTAACAAGATGGGTCCTACACAGATGACAGCAAGGAAATGAGTGAGCTACTCAAGTCCCAATATGACTCAGTTTTTAGCAAGCCGCTAACCAGACAGAGTCGAAGATCAAAATGAATTTTTTATGAGAGAGCCACAGAATTTGGTTAACACAAGCCTATCTGATGTTATCCTGACGCCAAATGACTTCGAACAGGCGATAAATGACATGCCCATGCACTCTGCCCCAGGGCCAGACTCATGGAACTCCGTGTTCATCAAGAACTGCAAGAAGCCCCTATCACGAGCTTTTACCATTCTATGGAGAGGGAGCATGGACACAGGGGTCGTCCCACAGTTACTAAAAACAACAGACATAGCCCCACTCCACAAAGGGGGCAGTAAAGCGACAGCAAAGAACTACAGACCGATAGCACTAACATCCCATATCATAAAAATCTTTGAAAGGGTCCTAAGAAGCAAGATCACCACCCATCTAGAAACCCATCAATTACACAACCCAGGGCAACATGGGTTTAGAACAGGTCGTTCCTGTCTGTCTCAACTATTGGATCACTACGACAAGGTCCTAGATGCACTAGAAGACAAAAAGAATGCAGATGTAATACAGTGGACCCCCAGTTAACGATATTTTTTCACTCCAGAAGTATGTTCAGGTGCCAGTACTGACCGAATTTGTTCCCATAAGGAATATTGTGAAGTAGATTAGTCCATTTCAGAGCCCCAAACATACACGTACAAACGCACTTACATAAATACACTTACATAATTGGTCGCATTCGGAGGTGATCGTTATGCGGGGGTCCACTGTATATACAGACTTTGCAAAAGCCTTCGACAAGTGTGACCATGGCGTAATAGCGCACAAAATGCGTACTAAAGGAATAACGGGAAAAGTTGGTCAATGGATCTATAATTTGCTCACTAACAGAACACAGAGAGTAGTAGTCAACAGAGTAAAGTCCGAGGCAGCTACGGTGAAAAGCTCTGTTCCACAAGGCACAGTACTTGCTCCCATCTTGTTTCTCATCCTCATATCTGACATAAACAAGGATGTCAGCCACAGCACCGTGTCTTCCTTTGCAGATGACACCCGAATCTGCATGACAGTGTCTTCCATTGCAGACACTGCAAGGCTCCAGGCGGACATCAACCAAATCTTTAAGTGGGCTGCAGAAAACAATATGAAGTTTAACGATAAGAAATTTCAATTACTCAGATATGGTAAACACGAGGAAATTAAATCTTCATCAGAGTACAAAACAAATTCTGGCCACAAAATAGAGCGAAACACCAATGTCAAAGACCTGGGAGTGATCATGTCGGAGGATCTCACCTTCAAGGACCATAACATTGTATCAATTGCATCTGCTAGGAAAATGACAGGATGGATAATGAGAACCTTCAAAACTAGGACTGCCAAGCCCATGATGACACTCTTCAGGTCACTTGTTCTATCTAGGCTGGAATATTGCTGCACACTAACAGCACCTTTTTAAGGCAGGTGAAATTGCTGACCTAGAAATGTACAGAGAACCTTCACGGCGTGCATAATGGAGATAAAACACCTCAATTACTGGGAGCGCTTGAGGTTCCTGAACCTGTATTCCCTGGAACGCAGGCGGGAGAGATACATGATTATATACACCTGGAAAATCCTAGAGGGACTAGTACCGAACTTGCACACGAAAATCACTCACTACGAAAGCAAAAGACTTGGCAGGACGATGCAAACATCCCCCAATGAAAAGCAGGGGTGTCACTAGCACGTTAAGAGACCATACAATAAGTGTCAGGGGCCTGAGACTGCTCAACTGCCTCCCAGCATACATAAGAGGGATTACCAACAGACCCCTGGCAGTCTTCAAGCTGGCACTGGACAAGCACCTAAAGTCGGTTCCTGACCAGCCGGGCTGTGGCTCGTACGTTGGTTTGCGTGCAGCCAACAGTAACAGCCTGGTTGATCAGGCTCTGATCCACCAGGAGGCCTGGTCACAGACCGGGCCACGGGGGCGTTGACCCCCGGAACTCTCTCCAGGTAAACTCCAGATACAATGTTATGGGCCTTGAAGGTGAGATCCTCTGACATGATCACTCTCAGGTCTTTGACGTTAGTTTTTTGCTCTATTTTGTGGCTGGAATTTGTTTTATACTCTGATGAAGCTTTAATTTCCTCATGTGTACCATATCAGAGTAACTGAAATTTCTCGTCATTGAATTTCATATTGTTTTCTGCAGCCCATTGAACGATTTGGTTGATGTCCGCCTGGAGCCTTGCAGTGTCTGGCAATGGAAAACACTGTCATGCAGATTCGGGTGTCATCTGCAAAGGAAGACATGGTGCTGTGGCTGACATCCTTGTCTATGTCAGATATGAGGATGAGAAACAAGATGGGAGCGAGTACTGTGCCTTGTGGAACAGAGCTTTTCACCGTAGCTGCCTCGGACTTTACTCTGTTTACTGCTACTCTTTGTGTTCTGTTTGTGAGGAAATTATAGATGCATCTACCAAACTTTTCCTGTTATTCCTTTAGCACGCATTTTGTGCGCTATTACACCATGGTCACACTTGTTGCAGGCTTTTGTAAAGTCTGTGTATATTACATCTGCATTCCTTTTGTCTTTTAGTGCATCTAGGACCTT